TATAGGTCTGTAGGTTAGATATAGGTCTGTAGATTAGATATAGGTCTGTAGATTAGATATAGGTCTGTAGATTAGATATAGGTCTGTAGATTAGATATAGGTCTGTAGATTAGATATAGGTCTGTAGATTAGATATAGGTCTGTAGATTAGATATAGGTCTGTAGATTAGATATAGGTCTGTAGATTAGATATAGGTCTGTAGATTAGATATAGGTCTGTAGATTAGATATAGGTCTGTAGTTGGTCAGAACTGCTGAATCAAGATCAGGTTTCTTAAGTAAAGGTTTAATTACAGCAACCTTAAAGCTCTGTGGTACATAACCATTTATTAAAGATAAATTAAGTACATCTAAAATATAAATATTAATTAAGGGAAATGCTTCTTTGAACAGTCTGGTTGGGATCTAACAGACAGGTTGATGGTTTGGATGGAGCTTTTATTTTAGATAATTCAGAGCTCAACAGGACAGAAACTGTCCAACATAAATCAGGTTCTAGTGACACTAAAGCTGCCTCATCTGACAGAATCAGAGACAGGAGCAGGAAGTTTGGCATGAATTTTATTCCTTATTAAAAAAAATTTATCTATAAAGAACCTCATGAAGTCATCACTACTTAGAGTTAAAGGGACACATGGTTGAACAGAGACAGGACTTTTCATTAGTCTAGTTACAGAACTGAACAGAAACCTGGGATTGTTTTTATTCTCTTCTATTAAAGATGAATAATAAACAGTTCTAGCTTTATGAAGGGCTTTCTTATGTTAACAGGCTGTGTCTCCAGGTTAAATAAGATGTTAACAGACTGTGTCTCCATGTTAAATAAGATGTTAACAGGCTGTGTCTCCAGGTTAAATAAGATGTTAACAGACTGTGTCTCCAGGTTAAATAAGACTCCTGTTAGTGGAGCGACATTTTCTCTAGTTTTCTACATGTCTGTTTTAAAGAACGTAACTCTGAATTAAACCAAGGAGTCGTCTTCCTCCGATCGATAACTTTYTTTTTTAGTGGAGAAATTTCATCAAGAGAGGTTTGTATTAAAGTTGTAATATTATCAACAAGACCATGTAAGTTACTGTTCTCTGTTACATTATTCTGTAAGACAGAGGAGAATAAAGATGGAAGAGATTCTTTAAAGTTAGCTACAGTATTCTCTGATAAACATCTACTATAATGAAATTTACTCTCAGTAAATATAAAGTTAACTAATGTAAACTCAAAGGTTATTAAAAATGGTCAGAGAGAACAGGACTGTGAGGATAAATCATTCAGTTCTAACTCTACACCAAACATCAGAACCAGAT